ATAAGATGAAGGAGCAGATGCTGGCTGACCTGAGGGGTGGGACCAAGGAAGAGTACCACAGCCCAGCTGGTATTGCTGCACTCTTTGATCGCTCAGGAGGGAAGCTGACCCCAGAAATGGCAAAGGTCCTTGAAAAAACAAAACTGAGTGCAGTCCATCATGACAACCTCATTGCTGAGGTTCGTAAAGAATGGGACTCTTGGGACACAAAAGAACAAGGGGGCAACAGAGGAGATGGACGACTTGAATTTGATTCATTCTATCATGCATTCATGGCTCCTTACTTTGGCTGCTACAGGTGTGGTATGACAAAGAAAGGTCTCCAGGCTATTGATATGGATAGTGATGGCTTCGTTGACTGGGTTGAGTTCCTAGTCTACATCAAGTGGGCTCTTCGTCAGTATCCTGATACTGAAGACATGGACACACTTCTTGAAATTGTCTTCCAAAAGGGAGTTATGCCAGCTATGAGGGATGAGAAGATCATGAGGCAAAGGAGTGGAGTCAAATCCTCCTGCTGAGTCATTGGAGAACAGTATTAGATAGTCCCTTTAAACTGTATTATAGATTTATTAGTTTATAGTATAGAGAGAAACTTAGAGCTAGGCTAGTGTCTAGCAACAATTATTATGATTTTAGATCATGATTTATTTTCTTTGATAAAAAATTTGCTCCTCAATTTGATAAACATGATAAATCCAGCTAGCAGCTTGCAGCCAGCTCCACCCAAGCTGTTTGCAGCAGCATCAAGAGGCTATTTTGATTGGGTAATGCAGTTAAAATTATTATAAGAAATGTGAATGAATGAACAATGGCTGCTGGACGGGTAATGAAAGATGTAGAGCGGCTAATCTCACGGTGCGAGGAGATACTGGGAGACAAACTTAAGATAAGAGGACAGGAATGGCGCATTGTAAAGGTATAGACCAATCAATAAATAAAATAAAATAAAATGAATTGTTAGTATGTAGAAACATTGACAAGTCGAATAAACGAATTAGAAAATACTAGTAGTTTATCACAGTAAGTTTGTTGTTGTTTATTTGTTGTTGTTTATTGTTGTTGTTGTTGTTAGAGTTTGTTTGGATCAGTTGATTAGTTTCAAGGGACGTCTCACAATATTACAAGAAGTAGCGAATGAAATAAAAGACAAACTAGAGAGAAAGAAAAACGAAGAAAGTAATGAAGAGTAACTAGACCACAGACACTTGTACATGAGGCAGACACTGCTATTGCAGACAACCAGTGGTTCCTTTGATATAAGAGGCAATGATGCTATTGCAGTATTTCCTTCATTAAACTAGTCTGTAGGAAGCTTCATAAAGCCATTAGCTACTGGTGATGTTATTACATTATTAAATGAATTAGCAAACTTTTGTACTCTAAATGAGCCCACACTATAGACAAGGAATCCTCTCTTTACTATTAATTACTTTATCTGTCTGTGTCTGTAGCTTCATCAACTCCTCATGACTCATGCCTGACCTCTTCCTCCACAACTGATGTACCCAATCAACGAATCCTTAATGACACCACCATGAGAGGGAGTGGCCTGCTGAGACGTTCAGCTACCAAGAGCTCTCAAGCCATGAGAGAAGAACTGTTCAGTCGAGTGAGGGAACATAATGAACTGAATCATATACTTGTACTTTTGTTTAAACTAAGTTTGGTCAAAATTAGAATTGTTACAAATTTTAGAGTTGCTTCAACTATGCTCTGTGCTATAGTCTGGGGAAATTTTACTAAAATTGAAAAGGATCCGATACATTTACATGTACTTATGTTGTGTAGAAACCTTTAGCTCATTTTGATGAAATTTGAATTTTTACGAACTTTTAAAATTGCTCAAAAAATCAGGCCAAAGTCCCTGTACTATTATTCTTCACTTTTGATACATTTTCTGATGCATATACTGGTAAATGTTCTTAGATTCTGTTTCCTTTACAGCAAGAGTCCTTAAAGTCTAGCAGCACTTCAAAGACACTGAACGAGAGAGAGATGATGCAAGCAATGGCAGACCATGAGAAGCAGCAGGAGAGGATAGCTCAGGACATGATTGAACTGAGCAGATCATTAAAGCAACAGTCACTGGCAGCAAGAGACATCATTAAGAGTGACACACAAGTAATGAGAGAGATAATGGATGCATTAAAATCAATTATCTTCTTTTATATGAATTTTTTTGAAAGGTTCTAAAGAAGACTTCAATTTCAGCTGAAGACAACATCAGTGGAATGACACAGGAAACTGACAGACTAAAGGAAAAGAGCAAGGGTTGCTCCTGCTGGGTATGGATGATGCTGATAATAGTGTTCATCGTCTTCATTCAAATGATAATGTTTATCAGACTCTATCCTAAGAGAAGATAGTTGTTATTATTAAAAAACAAACAAAAAACTTTAAAATTGATGTCTTTCATCATTAATTTATACACTGTAAATAATGTAATTATGGTCACAATAAAAAGAAAGAAATATGATTATTATTTCATGAAATTAAA